CAAATCAATAAACTCCTGCTTTGGCTATAACATGGATAGAAGGTTCCCCCCTTGATAATATTGATCTACTAGTACCATGATCATCCAGCTTACGGTAACAGAAGGGACAGGAATTTAAATCCATGAACTTCTCAGCACATGAGTGGAATTAGAATAATCTCTGGTACAATATGGCGGGGATTGTTATTTGAAATTTTTTTTATTTTTTTCAAAGGGTGTGTGTTTTTTATTTTTTAATAACAGGCTAACCCTGTTTGGTAATATAAAATGCATGGTTTCCATAAAACAGACGCCCAGCTAAATTCTCTACCCACGACTGAGCTTTAATATTACGGGGTGTTGGAATATATTTGTTTGGTGATAGTAAGGCGCGTAGAAAGCGATTGATGCTGTGATGCAGTGCTCTTGGATGCTGAGTGCGCTTTCAGTTTTTGAATGCCAAGACTCCATCATAATCACTTGTGCTCTCTATCTACTCTGTGTCATTTCTGGTTGCACTATATACAGAAAATAACAAAACTTATGCGGACACATAAAAAATCAAGTTTTGGTTACTACCACCAAACGCAGATGGAAGAGAAATGAAACAGTCTGTACCTGCGTCAAGAACCTTATTCGCAGCCTCAGCTCTTCAAACAGGGGAACACTTTTTATCAGAAACCCCAAATTGTCTTTCTTAATATATTTAACGTAGGACACAACCAGTTTAAATGACTGTTTTGCCCAATAGTGGGTACATCTCAATCTAATATTAAACAAAGTCTTGATGATTACAACTTCCACATTATTTATTTATGGAATAAATTCAATTTGATTTCACGCCATAATCTCATTAAAAAAATAAAAACGGGGTTCCATCCAATATTAAAGGAAAAATTCATATACGAATGTGGAACTGAGTCGAATTTGAAGAGTCGACCCGTTAGACTTTAGGTTGGTGGGAATAACATGAGAGATACATGGGCAATACAATGATCTCTTTGTAACATACTGTGAGCCATTCCCTGAGATTGCACAATGGTGAACGTCAAACGCCTTGCCGAAATACCCAATACTCCAAAATATATCGCCAGTTGATAATTAAATAAAGCCGTTCTAAATCGCAGCCATCTCTACATTCGTTTGATAAAAGAGCCTCATACTATAACTATATATTGGTGTAATGGCAGAGACGAAGAGGAGACAAACTCAAGGTGAACAGTGGCTGCTTAAAAAAACAATACTCATTCCAACTCTTCTGTTGTTTGTCTAGATTTTGAGCACGTATGCCAATCGCCCTGTTTCTAAATTTCTGCAGCGGGAACTAGCTTTGGATATGGCGAGTCCAATTTAAGCTAGGGTGAGGGTGGTAAATTTAGCCTCTTCATATTGTCGAAAGTCTAATTAAAATAAGCATACTCTTCATAATTTAAATGACCAGTTGGATTATTTTAAACGGGGCAGTTAAGGGGATTTTTCCCTGGATGTTAATCTGGGGTGATTGTCAAGAGGGCAATTGTGAGTAGAAAATGCCATGGACAGTCGCAGTTGATTATTTGCAAGACGCTTAATACGTTCCTTTATTTTAACCTCACCTCACGCACACACACGTGGTGATAAATTCACTTTAAACATTACTCCAAATGTGAGCCGTGATCAATAGAGGAGCTTCCAGTATCGTCAAAGTACAGGGGATTACAACACTAAAAAAAAATCTTAAAATTTTTCAGGTGAATCAAAAATTAAATACAATACTGGCCATACTGGCCTGTCCTTGTTACACTTCGGAGGAGCCATTCAGCTCGGTATATACAAGAAATTAAATATTATTAAGACAATGCCCCTGAAGGATAGGACAAAGGTGCTTCACGGTCTAAATTCTTCTTCTAGTGCGCAATAACACTCGGGCGTATCTGAATATTTTTTTTCTTGTGATGTTGGTTCTTTATAAACAATACTGCCCAACCTCATGTTCCCTGAATAAATTTTAAAAAATCAAATTTTTACCATAGTGCGAAGGGTACATATATTTGTCTCAACCCGGCCATATGAATAGATTAATATTTTTCCCGATTGATAAGTGCGCTCATAAAATACCAACCTCTGTAGGAGTTATTAAAGGC